GTGCCACGGCCGGGGCCGGTGCGACTGCGGGGTCTGCATCTGTCACGTGAGCGAGCCGGGCGTGTACTTCGGGCCCCTGTGTGAATGCCACGAATGGGTGTGCGAGACCTACGACGGGAAGACCTGCGCAGGTAAGGGAGGGCGACGTCTCCTCTCGCCGACTCACCCGCACGCTCGGGGCCGGGAAACCCTCCTTCTGGGGCTGCCGCCTCTCCCCACAAGGGGAAGGGGCGGAGAAGTGTGGGGACTGACCTCTGCTCTCAGCCCCCCAGGAAGTCACTGCCATCCCAAATGTATGCTTTTGTTAGTCAATTCTGGAATGATGCATGATAATACTTTCCTCCACCCTAGGGTTCAAACTTCAGTGGAAATAATAGTTGCAAAACTCATTCACTTACCTATCTCACTTGTCTCTATTTTAGTTTCTTGTTACAGACGAAACCTCCCAACTTCCTCACAAATGGAGTTATTTTGCTGGGTTCCCCACTAACGTCAATCATAATATTTGCATAACATAAGCCTGAGTTTTATTTTTACTAAGGCAATACAGGGAAATACCATTTTCCTAAATCCCAGGGTGGGGCTGGCCTTGTCTTTGAACCCTGATTGGCCCTCTCATACTTAGGATATAGTTCACAGATATAAGTGCATATCGGGAACTGTGACAAGGAAAACATAAGTCGTTCATGTTTACTTAGAAGCAACTGCTTTTGTATTGTTTTAGCTGCTTGAAATTTTTAGCTGCAATGAAACTTGTTATTTTGTAAGGGTGGAGTGAAAATAAGTTCATTGCCTTGCACGTTTTTAAAAAATATATTTTTATTGATTTCAGAGAGCAAGAGCAAGGGAGAGATAGAAACATCAATGATGAGAGTGAATCATTGATCTTGATCAGCTGCCTCCTGCACGCCCCACACTGGGGATCGAGCCTGCAGCCCTGGCACGTGCCCTGACCAGGAATTGAACTGTGACCTCCCGGTTCATAGGTCGATGCCCAACTACTGAGCCATATGGGCTGGGCAACTTGCACATTTTTAAGTGATTTGGGCCCTGATTTTGGAAAGGGTCAAGTTATTTCTTTATAGAGAACACCCTCTACCAGTTTCACCTAAATATGCCATTTACTTAATGCCAAGAACCTCAATTAGGTCATTGTGAATGATACAGGCACTCCATTAGTATAAGGACAACACAACACATTCCAACCAGGGTTTGGCATATTTGTAGGGGGGAAAAAATCACAACTTATTTACCCACAACATGTCTAAGAATAGAGTCCAACGCTAACATACAGAGATCAAAAATATGTTTATAGCAAAATGCTTTTTTCTTGGCACCTGGGCCCAGGAGAGCATAGAGGGAATACTTAATATGCAGGCTGCTTGGCAGTGGAAAAAATAGTCATATAAGTAATTCAGATGGGCACAGGTGCTTCTGTGTGATTTGTTTACCCTAGGAAGGCTGTAGCTCAACCCTTTAAAAATAGTGAATGCCACAGCTTGTTATTTTAACTTCATCACTCCCATAAGCTTCAATACTTAGCTTTGGAATGAAAGCTAAGTATTGTCTAATATTTCATTCCAAATTCAACTTCTACCCTGCTTTTCTGGATTTTTATTGCCTCTGGCAAGGCCTCCTCAATATCATGAGTTCTGAATACATTTTCTAAAGGGCATTTTCTATTGTTCTTTCATTGGAGAAGAAGAAGTAAGATGCGGTCTTCAACCAGTGAACTAGTCATCAGATCACCAGCTAAAATCAGAAGAAGCTTCTCTGGTTTCTGTCTTTAAAATTATGCAGACGGAACGCTGTGGTATACAGTGTTCTTGTTTATCTTCCATGGAAAGTGATTTGTTGTTTAACCATGACATCTTAGTCACTGCATTCCTTCCTCCCTGATAGAAAATGCAGTACTGAGTCACCCATGGCTTTGTTTGCTTGTGTGTTCATTCCTGTAGAAGGCAGTCTATGTCTCTTCATTTCAAGGTCGAATGAAATAACTGTTCATTTTCCATTCGCATCACTCTGACTGATGCCCTTTGAGGCCTGTGCCACAGGGCGGGGTGCAGAATCTGCCCCTGCAAATGCTCTGACTCTCTTTGCCTGATCCAACGAGGAAATCCTTACATACAGACCACAGGACTGCCTTGCCAGCTTGCCCACTTGTTCTTTGCTTTAAATTTAGCTTCTCAATTTCATCTTCAATTGTTCCCCCCTAGCTGGTTTGCTCAGTGGATAGAGCGTTGGCCTGTGGACTGAAGGGTCCCAGGTTCGATTCCAGTCAAGGGCATATGCCTGGGTTGTGGGCTCAATCCCCAGTAGGGGATGTGCGGGAGGCAGCCAATCAATGATCTCTCTCATTATTGATGTTTCAATCTTTCTCTCCCTCTCCCTTCCTCTCTGAAATCAATAAAAATATATTAAAAAAATAAAGAAGTAGTTCCAAGATTATAGCTAGTAACATTGAAACATAGCAGGTTGTCTTTTTAAACAAATATATTTTATGCATTGCTGTAATAATATTATGTTTTGCACATACACACATATTAATATGTATTGAGCACTGACTTTGCGCAAAACACTGTTCTATGGGTTTATGTATGGTAAACCTCACAACAATTATGTAATATAAGTACTGCTCTTATCCCATTTTACAGACAATGAAATCAAGTTTAAGTAACTGCCCAAGTTCACATAGCTGATTTAAATCCTGGAAAATTTCCTCCAGGGGACAAAGTGTTAACCACTCTAAGATACACTACCAGAGCAGAATTTTATTTTCTTCACAGAGGTTGGAGAGGTCTCTGGAAGCTACTCTATTTCCAAAAAGTACTTACAAGGGCTTATCCTAGAGGTGAAGGCCCAAGTGCCCATCCTATATAATAAAACCCTAATATGCAAATTGACCAAACAGCAGAATGACTGGCAGAACGACCGGTTGCTATGATGCACACTGACCACCAGGAGGCAGACACTCAACACAGGAGCTGCCCCCTGGTGGTCAGTGCACTCCCACAGGGGGAGCACCACTCAGCCAGAAGCAGGGCTCACGGTTGGTGAGTGCAGCGGTGGTGGCGGGAGCCTCTCCCATCTCTGTGGCAGCGCTAAGGAGCAGTGAGCCAAGCGGTAAGGAGCAGCGAGCAGGCAAGCAGTAAAGAGCGAGGGGTCCCTGACTGTGAGAGGGCACAGGCCAGGCTGAGGGAACCCCCACCCCAGTGCATGAATTTCGTGCACCGGGCCTCTAGTAAAACATAAAAGACAACCTGCTGCCCTAGCTGGTTTGGCTCAGTGGATAGATAGATGGATGGACGGATGGATGGATGGATGGAATGAATAGATAGATAGGAGAGAGAGAGAGAGAGAGAGAGAGAGAGAGAGAGAGAGATGGCTTGGCTTTGTATTTGTTGGGCATTTGACTCAGTGAAGGCAGTTTAGTTTTCTTAGTGTAGTCTGGTCCTGTTGTTATTGATCCAGAACTCAAAAGGTCGAGCAAGGATAGCTATTTTGGCCCAGCCTCACAGCAGCTGTATGAGATACACCATGCCCTTTTAAAGTTAGGTCCGTTGGGATTCTAATGCTGTGAATCACAAGAAACATAGTTATTTTAGTTTGAGCTGATTGAAAGTGTGATCGCATTTACAAGATCACAAATGGTCTATTTCTTCCAGTATCCACTTGTTCCTGGCCCATGCATCTTCCTTAGACTTCAATAGCATGAAGCCTGGCCCAATGATTGGTCATGCGGGTGTTATATTCTAATAAGGAGTAACCTAATTTTGGTGAAGTATGTCTTGGAGAATAGTAAAATGTTTGGTTACATAAAAAAAACCTTTCAGTTAATATTTCAAGGCATCCCTGGAAACCCCCAACAGCTATGATTACACTTAAATAAAATAATTGGTTTCTTAAAAGATCTTTTCTAATCACTTTTAATATAAGTAGGTCTACAGTTGTATATTAAACATTTTATTATTATATTATTTTTTAATTATTTTCCATACTAACAAATGTAAACCTACTTTTGCCCATCGATGTACATCCAACAACTATTTTATGAAAATTTTATCAGCCTGGTTGTGTGTACATAAGTTTCAGTTTTGCCCAGCTGGCATGTCTCAGTGATTGAGCATCGACCTATGAACCAGGAGGTCATGGTTCATTTCCCAGTCAGGGCACATGCCTGGATTATGGGCTTGATGCAGGAGGCAGCTGATCAATGATTCTCTCTCATCATTGATATTTCTCTCTATCTCTCTCCTTCTCTGAAATCAATAAGAATATATTTCAGAAAAATAATATATATTTTTAAAAAAGAGTTTCAGTTTTAATAACTGGGAAGAGCTAACTGAATTTAGCAAACACTTATGACATGCTGTATATCTCTGTTTGCTATTGAAGGGGGACAGAAAGTTGAGGAGAGCTTCCCATTGAGTAGGGAGGTCAAGAGAAACACCAAATACCTATAATTCAACGCAGAATATAATTTCTCCAAATTTCTTTGAGGATTCCTTTAAGGCAGAAATTAAATGTTGTGGTATTGTGGTTAGACATTCTGGAGAATGTGGTAGCACATCCATCTTTAAGTTTAGGAAGGTTTTTAGTCCAAAAGGTGGACCGTAGGAATTCTGAGTGAAGAAAAGTTCAAGCAAAGGCGTAGAGGAAGGAAAGTATGTGGGTGTGTTTGGGGAATAGTGAGGGATTCTAGGTTTGGCTTGGCTGGATCCAGGACTGTGGGAAAAGTAGAAGATACATTGAGAGTTATAGATGGATATATTGTGGAGGACTTTGAATGTGGATGTGAAGTTTGTGCTCAGGTAAACAACATATGGGAGCCATGAAGTGGCTGAACATGGGAACTGTGGTTAGTGCTCAAACTCATGACAGCTAATGTGGTGCCTGAGGGCACAGCAAATTGGGGTAGACACTCGAGGGGAGGAACTCTGTTTAGATGCCACTTATATTATAGTCCAACTGAGAGAGAATAAGGTTTGAATTATGATGAATTTTAAACACTTTGAAACCTGCTCCTTAACACCCTCTCCAGTAAAAGAATGTGTTGAACAGACAGACTCTGATTGCCTCCTTTCATGTATGGGTATTTTCATCGTGGTCCTAACATCTCCTGTAGTTT